CTCTTCCTCTGAAAGCTGCTCCATAAAATTGGAAAAAGTGATTATTTCACTAGATGCACAGATATCAACATAGGGATGCAAGAAACATGAAAAAGTGAGGAAACATGACACCCTCAAGGAATATACAACTAGTCATTGACAGACCCCAAAGGACATTTATGAAATGCTTGGAAAGAAATTCAAAATAATGATCTTAAGGAAAGTTAGTGAAAACACAGGCAAATAATACAATGAAATCAGGAAAACAATTCATGATCTGAATGAGAAATTCAACAAAAAGATAGATATGAAAAAGAACCAAATAGAAATCTTGAAGCTAAAGAAGACAGTGAGTGAAGTAAAAAATACGATTGAGAGCTTCAATAACAGACTAGATCAAGCAAAAGAAAGAATTTCTGAACTTTATGGCAGGTCTTTTGAAATAACCCAGTCAGAGGCAAAAAATAAAAGAGAATAAAAAAGAATAAAGAAAGCCTACAGGACTTATGTAACACCATTAAGTGAACAAATATTCACATTATAGGAGTCCAGAAGGAGAAGAAATGGAGAAAGGCACAGAAAATCTATTTAACAAAAAAATAGCAGAAAACTTCCCAAGTCTTGTAAGAGATATGTACATCTAGATCCAGGAAAGGTCTGTAATAAGATTCAATGCAAAAATATCTTCTCTGAGGCACATTATAACCCAAATGTCAAAAGTCAAAGAGCGAATTTTAAAAGCTGCAAGATAAAAATGTCAAATCACGTATAAGGGAATCTCTATTAGACTATCAGCAGATTTTTCAGCAGAAACCTTGCAGGCCAGAAGAGAATGGGATGATATACCTGAAGTGTTGGAAAAAAAACCTGTCAGCCAAGAATACTATTTCCAGCAAAGGTATCCTTCAGAAACCCAGGAGAAATAAAGACCTTCCCAGGAAAGCAAAAACTGAGAGAATTCATCACTTCTAGACTGGGCTTATAAGAAATACTTAAGGGAGTGCTACAACTGGAAATGAAAGGATGATAATTACTAGAATGAAAACACTTAAAACTCACCAGTCTAACTAAATCTAGAATCATACTCAGAATACCCCAGTGCTGAAATGGTGCTATGTAAATCTTTCAACTCTCTAGTATGAAAGTTTAACATCAAAAAGGTCAAAAACATCAACAGATACAATTAGTGACTAAGAAACACACAAAAGATAAAGATGTAAATTAAGGCACTCAAAACACAAATTGTGGAGGGGAGGGAAAAAAGTCTAGAGTATTTTTATGCAACTAAAGTTAAGGTGTTAGCAACTTAAAATAGTATATTATAACTATAAGACTTTTTAGGTTAGCCCCATGGCAACCAAAAAAAAAAAAATTATGGCAGATACACAAACAAGAAAGAGAAAGGAAACAAAGCTTCCACAAAACCATAGAGGTAAATAATAACAGAGGAAGAAAAAAACTAAGTATCTAAAAAAAAAAGAAGAAGAAGAAGAAGAAGAAGAAAATAATTAACAAGAGTTCAAAAGTGGCAGGCATATTGACCTTACCTATCAATAATAACCTTGAATATAAATGGATTAAATTCTCCAATTAAAAGATGTAGAGTGGCTGAATGGATTAAAAAAATTAACATTGTTTTTTTTTCCTTTTTTTTTGTAGCCATACTGGGGAAAAATTAACATTGTTAAAATGTCCATACTACCCAAAGAAATCTACAGATTTAATAAAATTCCTATCAAAATACCAATGACACTTTTCACAGAAGTAGAAAAAAAAACAATCCTGAAATTCATATGGAACCACATAAGACCCTGAATAGCCACGGCAATACTGATCAAAAAGAAGAAAACTGGAGGCATCATACTACCTAAATTCAAAATATACTACAAATCTATATTAACCAAAGAAGCATGGTACTAGCATAATCCAGATGCACAGATCAGCAAGACAGAATAGAGAAACCAGAAATAAATTCATACACCTACAGCCAACTTATTTTCAACAAAGGTGCCAAGAACACAACTGGGGTTAAGGCAGTCTTCAACAAATGGTACTGAGAATACTGGACATCCACCTGCAGAAGAATCAGACTAGACCCACACTGTTCACCATATACAAAAGTCAACTCAAAATGAATTAAAGTGTTAAATGTAAAACCCCAAATTATGAAACTACTAAAAGAAAACATAGGGGAAATGTTTATGACATTGTGCTGGGCAAGGATTTTTTTAAATAAAACTTCAAAAGCACAGGCAATGAAAGTAAAAAATAGACAAATGGGATTACATGAAACTAAAAAGCTTTTACACTGCAAAAGAAACAATCGATAAAATGAACAGACAACCTACAAAATCAGATAAAATATTTATAAACTATACATCTGACAAGGGATTAGTCCAGAATATATAAAAAACTTAAACTCAATAGCAAAAAAAAACAAAAACAAAACCTCAATTTTTAAAATAGGCAAAAGACTTTAATAGGAATTTCTCAAAAGGAGACATACAAATGGCCAATAGGTATATAAAAAAAATGCTCAACATCACTAATCATCAAGAAAATGTAAATCAAAGTCACAATGAGATACCACCTCACTCCAATTAGAATGGCCATTATCAAAAAGAGAAAAGAAAGCAAGTGTTGACAAGAATGTGCAGAAAAGGGAACACTTACATACTGTTGGTGGGATTGCAAATTAATACAGCCACTGTGGAAAACATAGAACTATAATACAATCCAGCAATCCCACTACTGGGTACATATCCAAAAGCAATGGAATCAGTATGTTGAAGAGACATCTGCACTTGAAATAGCCAAGATGCAGAATCAACCCAAGTGTCCAAAAACAGATGAATGGATAAAGAAAATGTGGTATATATACAGAATGGAAATATGATTCAGCCATTAAAAAAAAAATTCTGTCATTTAGGATAACATTGATAAACCTGGGGACACCATGCTAAGTGAAATAAGTCAGACACAGAAAGACAAACAAATACCATACCATCTCACTCATGTGCAATCTGAAAAAAAGAAAAACAAGATCACAGAAGCTGAGAGTAGAACAGTGGTGACCAGAGAATGGGGAGGGGAGAGGATGGGAAGAGACTGGTCAACGGGTTGAAAGTCACAATTAGATAGGAAGAATAAGTGTTCTACTACACAGCACGGTGTCACTGGTTAATAATAAGGTATCATACATTACAAAATAGCTAGCGGAGAGGATTCAAATGTCCTCACCACCAGGTATGATAAATGCGTGAGGTGACTGACATGCTGAACACCCTGACTAGATCATTATACAACATGTATGTGTATCAAAACATAAAATTATATCCCATAAACATGTACAATTACAATGTGTCAATAAATTTTTTAAAATAATAAAGTAACTTAGGAACCTTTTTTCCCCGTTTCTCAGAACAAACACTTTAAGAATGATAAGGGTAATACCCATTTGGGGACCTTTTGTTCAGGTTACATATATATCATTCAGGTTAACTTGAAAAATGAAGAGAAACAGCAAAGTAAATGGATTATTTATGAAATAATTTCAGTCATGATAGTCTATTTGAGCAGTAACAACAAGAACGTTGGTAAATCGATTCAACTATTAGGATTAACAACTCTAATAATTCTAAACATTAATAAATAACTTTTAAAATGTGTTGTCTTTTTATTTTTTTAAAAAAAAAAATAAAAAATAAAAAAAAAAAGTGGCCTTTCCGAAGCCTGAAAATTGAAAGGGGAAAAAAAAAGTGGGTGGGGGGGTGTAAATTTCCCAATCAATCCAATGAAATGATGCTTAGGCCTTGGCAGGCTCTCCTTCAGCTCCTGAACATGCCAGGCTCTGCTCCAGGAGCTGAGCATGGCAGTGAACGAGCCCAGCAAGAGGCCACTTTCATGGAGCTGACATCCTAGTGGGGGATACAGTTCCACAGAGGCTTAGACCTGGCCCAGGACGACAGAGCCAGAACAGAAAAGAAATTAAATTAATCTGACAAGAACACCAAGATCTGCTCCCAAGAACGGTCACATCCATTCAAACCTGGGCACATACTCTCTTTTCTCAGCCCTCTTCTCTACCGAACGTCCCCTGTGAAATGCTCTCTCAGGAAGGGATCTGACCAACTGAGTCATGCTTAGGTACGCACGGCTTGCCCCCTCTCAGGAGTCTGCACCTCACCACAGGTAGACACGAGGAGCTCCTAGGTGGCGGAAAGGGGTTTTAGGGACTCTCTCAGAGTTCTGTCATGCATCTATTTCTAAGGCAACATTCATCAAGCACCTGCTCTGTCGTAGCGCAGCACTGGGCTCGTTTAGGCAACCGTGGGTAGTCCGTTTACCACAAACACACAGAGCCCGGAGGGAAGCGGGCTCAGTACTGCATGTGCCCCTCCAAAGGCTCTCACTACGCTTCTCCACCCAGCCCTGTGGCCCAGGAGCTGGCCTTTGGGGACTGCATCAGGGGCTTCTTGCTCTGTCTTCTGGTTGGGTTCAGCCAAAGGCTGTCCCCAGCAGGAGATGAGGGGTGGGAGGAAAGAGGGCCAACTTCTTATTTCCCAGCTCTCTCTCTGGGCAGTGGTTGTGTCCCTCGACCAAAGGTCATGCTCCCTGTGGGGGGTTCTCTTGCGTAGTGACAGCCACAGCCACAGCTCCCTCTCTAATCATCCCTGCCCTCCACGCCGACCGTGCCCCGGAGAGCCCCACACCGGTGCTCCGCCATTGCTGCGGGGGCTCCTCAAGCCCCGCCCAGGCCTTCGCAGTCTTCTCGCCCACTTAACTGCCCATTCTAACGGACGCAGGACGCAACGCCAGCACTGCTCTCAGATCAAAGACTGACTGCAGGCACCAGCGTCATGTTTAAGTTGCAGGGATTAGAAAGGACGGGAGGGCTGGTAGAGTCTGTACATGGTGCTTCCTCTCAGAAACGCTGGTGACTCACCTTCCAATAAAACAAAGTTCAGGGCAGTCACCGGTGGCCCCAGCCCCCCAGGCAGGAACAGAAACCTCTGGCTTACCTTCCTGTGTTCAGTGGAGGCCTGTGGGCAGACGAGCTGGAATCCAAGCAGCAGGAGGGAACCCAGGACACTGGAAAGGGAAAACAGCAACAGGCAGAGCCGTGAGAATACTCCAGGCAGCAGCCCCCAGTGGAAGGCAGCTCATGGGGCGGGAAAGAACCCGGGCCCAGGGATGTGACCCAGTGAAGGTGCAAAGGGCCACCTCGCAGGAGGAGGCAGCACAGCGCCACCGTGTCAGGGCGTGGCGCGGGGCAGACTCGGATCAGATCCCAGCCCTGCCGCTGCCAGCAGGGTTTCTAGGCCGGAGCGTTTAACCTCCCTGTGCCTCCAGCTCTTCCGCTGTAAATTGGGGATAACAACAGAAGCTGGCTTGGGAGGTTTGGGGGGAACTGAATAAGATAACACATCACGCCTGGCAGCGTGAGCGCTCACGCGGTCGTGTGCACACGGTGCCGCGGGGAGGTCAGGGTAAAAGTGGGGCTGCTGTGCCCGCCAGGGACGTCTCTCGCCTTACAGCCCAGGCTCCCTTGGAAGCCTTTCCTCCGCCCGCCCAGCCCTTTGGTGTCACATATGCCCTCCATGGGCTGGATTAGCTGCGCTAAGCCCCACTGTCACCAGCCCTGATTAAGACTTGTCATCTCATAAAGGGAAGGCGTGGAAACAGGAGCCGGCCGGGACAGCTGGAGAGAACATGAAGCTGAGGACTCAAACACATCTAGGCTAGAGTCCCAACTGCACTCCCACCCGGGTGATCCTGGGCAAGTTAATATCTCTAAGCTGCAAACATTCTCACCTTCTGAAGCACTGAACAGGACAGAGGGGAGATGCCCGGTATGGTGAGTCAGAGGAGAGACAGGTATTGTCGCCAATCAACTTACATGCCAAGGCTCTTGATTCAAATCATCAATGTCACTATGTTAAGCACCCCTATAAAGAGGCCGCTACACCTTTTGAACTTTCATAGGGGTTAACACTAAGGGCAGTTAAGTTAAATAACACAATGGTTCCCAATATTTTTTCTAAGCCTCCAACATAACTGAAAGATGTGAAATATTGGCCCAGGCCAAGAAAAACCACCACCATGTTGGGGTGGAGATGAGGAAACCTGTCTGCACTGGGGGTTAGGACTCGTGGGGTTAGAGAAGGCTTCCACCATCTCTATGAATCCAAAATTCCACCCCAACACCCCTTTTGTCTGTAAATGACCCAGCAGACCACATAGAAGGGACAGAGACAGATGGATTAGAGACTGTGTGATGCGATAAGAGTATGGAACAAGGGCCGCGTAAACAGGTGTTAAATGTCCCCTTTTTGTTGTTGTCTTAGGGTTGCAGCTGAGGCCTCAAAGCTGAAGACAAAGGGTACTACGTGTGCACACATTGCCAAGGGCTGCACTATTAGGATGCACAAAGGGGTGCCCCCACCCATCCTGGGCTGCAGCCCCCCACCCACCTCCCACCTGTATGCACAAGGAGGCTGGAGGACAGGAGAAGTCTGCTAGCTGTGGATTTCCTTGAAGAGGGATGTAGGAGTGCTGAGTGCCTCCCCATTCCCCCCAGGGAAGGAAAGGAGGAGCTCTCTCCCAAGCCAAGCCATGGCACAACCATGCAGAGAGCTCGGTCTGGACGCCCTGGTGCCTGATGCTCCTCTGAAAAATATCTAAAGGCCACAAGCTGGCTGGAGCATCTGGGAGGGCAGAGTGGAGGAGGGCATAGGGTGGGAGCAGTCTGTATTTCTAGAGCTCAGAGGGGCAGGAGATGCTGTGTTTTCCCCATGAACTATATATATATATCACCATGGAAAGACACTGGAGTTAGGCCATCTGGAAAGGACCCACCAAAGAAGATTGCTCACTAGAATGAGGTGACTCCCCAAAAGGTGTGCAGCATGTACCCATGGCATACAGGAGCTGGGGGCCGGGGTAGGGCACAAGGGGTCAGCCAGTATTTGCACAGCCTATGCCAGGGGATGGGGCAGGGGGAGACCCCCGTGTGGGGAGGTTCTCCAGAGGGCCAACGAAGTCCCCTGAGAGAGAAGAACCCGAATTTTGGACATCTGCAGCACCGGATTACAAGGGCGCCAGTCCCATTGGGACCCTCTCCTGGCTCCGCCCTGGAGAGGTGCACGAGGCAGAGGAGGGCGGGGCAGGGAACCAGGGGTGTGAGAACCAGCCACGCCCTCTTCCCCACGACAGGGCTGAGGCTAGACCTGGCCCGGCTCACGGGAGGAAAGGAGCTTTAGATTGGATGGGAGACTAAAATGTTTTTATCTGACCAGACTTTCTTTTCAATGTAGTATATTTATAACAGCATCTTTCCAAAGAATGGATATATTCAGAAAAATATAGTATGAAATTAGTGGTGACAAAGATAAAAGAGTTGACTTGTAACTTGCTGAGGATCTAGGCCAGGGCCATCTGATAGAACTTCCTACGAGGACGGAAACGTCCCCGCCTGTAGTGTCCCAAAGCACAGACACGCGGGCCTGCGCTGCTCAGCACGCAAGAAGCCAACGGCACAGGTCTAGGTGGTGATGTTATTGACGTCCTGAGTTAATTCCAAAAACCACTTACTGAAAGGACAGGCATTCAACCAATAAAACTATTCCCCTCCCTACCCCCACCACATTTTTTTTTGGACTTTTTAGTACTTGAAAATAAGGCTGTTCATTAAACTCACAAAATGAAAAGCTGCCCAAGATGTCTTCCCGAGGTGGGCCCCAGGTGGGATGGGGGAAGCACAGTCATTTTCCAGTTATGTCCTTAGTAAATCCAGCTTGACCTCTAAGCCAAGAATACGTCCATCATGACTCTGGAGTCCACGCTCCTTGGTGGTATGACCTTGGGCAAATCACTTCCCTCTTGTGCCTCAGTTTACTCATCTGTAAAATGGGAATAATGTAACCTGTCCTCCTGCCTCAAATGAGTTAATGTGTGCGAAAGCATATTACGAACCCGTGCCTACAAATCTGGATCACTTGTAACACATTCTGGCACTGTTTATTCATTTAAAAAGAAAACCATATTCGTGTGGTTTTCTTTAAAAAAACAAACAGCAGCTCCATAAATGTGTTACACCTCAGCCCCTCAAAGCTCTTGGCACACACAGCAGCCGCATATTTGTAATGCAGTCGGGAGCAGTTCTGCATAACCACTCACTGGAGGTTGCAGGTTGTGCATCCACAGCCTTCAGGGGGACTTGGAGAGGGAGGGAAAGATTTTCCAGGAGGGGAGAGTCTAGGTTTTCCTCTGTCTCAGAGGAGCCGCATTCAACTCTACTCGTACCCTCACCTCCTTCAGGTCTCTGCCCAAAGGTTCTTGTCTCCATAAGGCTTCCTCGACCCTGCATAAAACAGTGCTCCTTCTCCCAGCCCAGCCTCTTCACAGCACTTACCATCTCTCATGCCATGTCTTTATTCGTTTACATTTCTCCCTGCACCCACTGGAATGGAAGCTCCAGGATTGGGAACTGTGTTTTGTCACCACTGTATTCCCTAGCGCCTGGCAGTGCACCTGCTCTATGGAGAGAGGTTGGTCACTGAACGAACGAATGATGCTTCCCCATCTTGGCAACCTCTGAAATTTCAAGATAAGTGAACACAGTGCAAGTAAACACATTCGAAAATGTCCAAAGGAACTTTGGAAGCTTTTGAAAGTTATTTTACGAGGGATTTATAAAAATCAGTTGTGCTTTTGAATCTCTGTGCAACCCTTCCCAAAAAACCACCCCCGTAAGATTTGCATGAGGTACGGCAGCAAAATGTTTGCTAGTGCCTCTTACTGCAAAAATGCAACACAAATTATATTTAGGTGTTCAAATGCTTCTTTTCATCTTGCTGGGCCCTAATGAAGCTAAAATCCACAGAGACACCCAGCAAAATTCATTCTGGAATAAAATCTTAGTTATTAAATGGGCTCTGCTCTGAATGAAATAGAATAAATTCCCCCAGAGGGGAAATTATTCTTTGGGCTACAATAACAGCAAGCAGAGCACTATATAACCCCAAGGGCCAGATGAAACTCTGCCAAGAGCTGAGTTTCCCACTTCTGCTCAGCAGACTGTTTTAGGACACCTCACCCTGCTCACACATACCTATCTAATTGGGAGTCTGTAGCTATGCGCACCCCTCTTCCAAACACCAACAATCTATCCCAAATCCTTGTTCCTCTTGACCTAATTAGAAATTAATGTTTGGGGCACGGGAGAGCATGCATGTGTGTGTATGCAACTCGTGTGTTATTTCACTTTGATAGTTTGCTTTGGCAAACTGCTCCCAGTTTGCAACGTTTTGACAGACTGAAGGCTACCAGGGCCTTTGGCAAACAAATCACACACTCCCTTCCAAGCGGCGGGGGGAAGCCACATTCCTACCAAGACTTTCCAATTCACCTTGCAGTCAAAATAACCTAACTGTTCACACTAATCAGAAAAAAAAAAAAAATAGTTATGCCATCCACCCAGCACTGTTCTAGACTTTAAACACTATCATTTCATTTCCTCGTGTAGAAAATAATACTCACTGAAATTTGGTACCAGATTTACATCATGGAACTGGGGCTCTGGGCTTCTGTATCTGCCCTGGGCAGCCCTGCTCCCCACCCCGACACTCAGCCCTCCTCCACGACACTCAGCCCTCCTCCACGGCAGTGCGGGAGCCCGCCCGCCACGGCCACATACCTCCAACGACCTCCAACGACCTCGGCGAACCCAACACCACTTGGGCATATCAAGTAACAAAACAAGGAAAACAGTAAAAAAACAAAACAAAACTTTACTTCTTTTCTTCTTCAGTTAATACAACCCAAGAGATATTTCAGGAGCAATCGGATCACTAATAAAATTTTACCACCTTAGCTAAAAGAGAGCCAAAATCTTAGCGTTAAAGTGAAATGCCACCCAGTGCACTCTGGAGATAAAATCTCTTTGCTAAGTGTGCATTTCCCCACGTTCAGCTCAGCCCTCTGCCTTCCTCTGACAGCAGTTAAGAGTGAAGACAGTAAGGGAGGCAGACGGGTTACCCATGACACCTGATAGTTACCACTGCTCTCAGCATGCACAATTGGTATTTCAT